CGGGTAAACCTACTAGAGTTCGCGCAGCGCTCGCGCTGCGCTTCCGCAGGAGCGCCGCCCGCGCAGTCGGGGGGGCTTCGATCGAGCTTCGGCCCGGGCCCCCCGCCACGGGGAGAGGGGCCTGTAGAGTCTTGTGCTTCTTGGTCTTCCAGACAGGGACTAGGGGTGGCGCTGCGGTTTCTTGCGGAGGCCCCGCTTTGCATCCTCACAGGGGGCTGTGATCTCTACCTTGGGCGCGCGCTGGGATGCGCCGCCCGAGTTTCAACGGGCGCTGCTGTTGCGACCTCACGCGTGCACCCAGCGTTGCATAGCTTCTGGCGAACCTGATGTCGCGCGATCCGCGGAGGAGTTCGCGCCGGCCGCGGGGCCTCCGCGGCTCGCGGGTGGAGATCTCAACCTGGAGGCAGCCCGGCTTCGCGATTCAGATGTTTGTTTCTCGTTCGCGGCAAGCTTCTTGCGCCTGACGTCGCGGGCGCCTGCCCCGCGGCGGGAAAAGACACGTTTCGGCTGTTTCGCCGGTCGAAGGGTATGCGACTGTAGACGTGAGCTCTTAGTTTGTGTGAAGTCCCCCCGCCCCCGCAGGCTTTTGGCCAAGCTGTTCTGGCCGCGCAGTCTTCGTTCTGTGCCTCCTCGGTGTCAGTGCCTGTCGCTGTTTCCCCTCTGGAGCCGGCTAACACAAAGCGATCGGTGATCGGTGGTCGCCTTTTCTTCCGGCTCAAAGTTGCGCGCCTTTCTCGGGACGGTTGGCGGGTCGTTCGATGGCGGGGTGCGTTCGGGAGGGGTCATCCCTTCAGCCGCCTCGCCTTCCGCGCCTGTGTTGGGTGGAAGCGGCGCTGTACCTACGAAGATGGCCCCCCACCTTTGCTGCTGCTCTCGGCGAGTCTGTCAGTGCCGTCCAAGGCGCTAGGCAGACCCTGGGAAAAGTGGCCGAGTCTGTCCGTGAGGGGGAGGAGGGGGAGGAGGAGGAGGAAGAGGAGGAGGAGGAGGAGGAGGAGGAGGAGGAGGAGGAGGAGGTGGAGGTGGAGGAGGAGGAGGAAGAAGAGGAGGAGGAGGAGGAGGAGGAGGAGGAGATCCAGGAGGACAAGGAGGGCGAAAAAGACAGGGAACAGGACGATGAGGACAGGGAGGACGGGGAGAGCGAGGGGGCAGTGCAGCTGTGTCACGCAGGGGCCGGCTTGGAGGAAAAGGGCGGCAGTGGAGGGGGTTTGGCGGAATGAAAAGGAGGAAAAGGAGGAGGAGGAGGAAGAGGAGGAGAAGAAGGAGGAGGAGGAGGAGAAGGAGGAGGAGGAGATGGCGGATGAGGAGGAGGAGGAGGACGAGGAGGAGGAGGACGAGGAGGAGGAGGACGAGGAGGAGGAGGAGGAGGACGAGGAGGAGGAGGAGGAGGCGTGTCCGCTGGTGGTGGCTGCTGAAGCCCTCAGAGGAGAGGAAATAAACAAACACACAACACAACAAACAAAAACGGACGAAGGTTTTCGAAAGGGTTCGCCGCGCCTGCGGCCTTCCTGGCCAGGCTGGGCGTCACTTTCTTCTGTTGCCCCAGCTGGGCTCCTCCTCCTCCTCCGCCTCCTCCTCCTCCTCCTCCTCCTCCTCCTCCTCCTCCCCTTCCCCTCGCCGCCGCCGTCGCAGTCGTCGTCCGAGAGCCGGTGCGCTTCAAACGGGGCTTCAGGTGCCTCTCCTTTCTCATGCTGTCCGCGGTTTGGTCAGTGCCACGGGCAGCACTGCAGTGTCCGCTGGCTGGCGTGCTGGCCGCACGGGCGCTCAGGATCCAGCGGCGTGGCGAGGAGCCCACGGTGCAGGCTGCGCCCCTTCCCTGGGCATCGGGCTGCTGGCTCGGCCGATGCCTCTTCCTTTCGCTTCTCGTTCGCCCTGGTGGGCGCCGCGGGCAGGGATGCCACGCGGCCTCTGGCAAGTCTCCTTTTCCCTAGTCTCTGCTCGGGCACCTCCCTGGAAGGGCCGCCCGTCACTAGCATTGTCGGGCTCTGCCCCCCCTCCTGCCCCCGCTGCTCAACCCTCGCGTTGGCAGCGTGGCTCTGTCCTGCAGGTCGCCCTGCAGTCGAGCGCAGGTTGCAGAATTTCGCCGCTTTCTGTATCTGCCGCCGTGGTCGAGGCTTTCTCCTGCCTGGCCTTTCGTTGCAGCTGGGGCTCCGCGAACCAAAAGATATGCACCCTGGACTGCCAGGCGTCGCGGACAAAAACACGACGGCATGATATCTCAGAAGAGGAGTTGCGCGGCTTCTGGTGACTCTGATTTTTCTCTATGGTTCGGCGCGTTGGACTAACAACAAGCCTTGAACAACACATATGCAGCACACAGAGAAAATGTTTCGTATGATTTCTCGAGTGCCCAGACGCCGTGCGCAGATGAACAACAGCCAGGAGGACCACGCATCCGACTCCACATGCCCCAGTTGCCATGAATCCAGCACCAGAGGAGATCGAACTGAAGGTTCTGACGTCAGCTCGACGAGCAGCAGCGATACCGACTCAACTGCTTCATCGAGCTCGGGTAAAACATCTGGTGAACTCGAGCCCTGGCACGAATGGGTACAACGAGCTACACATTACGGTGTGCAGCAGATGGCCGCTCTTAGGTACAAGGAATGGGTGGTTATGCAGCGAAGTTACACATGGGATTTGACACGACAACTTGTTACGTCCGACAAACACAACTCGAGCAATGCACCGTTTCAGTGGGATCCAAGTCTGCAGGCGCAATCGGCACGAATACCAAAGGGCAGACCCAAGCGGCGGTGGACCGAGTGGACCGACGATCTTACCACGGGCAGTATTGAAACTCTGGTGTGATGGAGGTGATTGGATGACAGCTGCAGCAAATGCATTGGAATGGGACCGTATTGGACAACTGTAATTGCGCCTCTGGAGGCTAAGTGACCGGCGCCCCGGCGCCCACTCCCGGCCCCGCGCGCGGCCGCTCTCCTCGGGCGAACTGGGAGCTGTCCTGCCCTGTCCTGTCCAGTCGTGTTGCCTGCGGGGTGCTCGCTGTTGATTCGGCCTCATCTCCCTTTGCGTCTGTGGCGGGATTTCTTGGGGTCCTCTCGGCTTTTCTTGGGGGCATGTTGTGGGTCTTGGGGATGTGGGGAGGGCACCAGGGTCCATGCGAGTTTCCCTCTTGTGGCTGTCTTCAGGGCCTTATTGGTCGTCTTGGGCCGCCTTCGGGCCCTCTGGGGACGTCCCAGGGTTTGGGCGCTTGGAGGCAAATTTCGGGCCGCAGACCACGCAGAATGACTGGCCAGGAACAAAACAGTTGTAGACGTACTCCAGGACACCCCCCGCAGACTGTCGAACCGGACAGTTGGGCAACGGTGCGTTGGGCGTGCTGGGAGTCCCCCGCATGCGGATGCCACCATCATCCCCTCCTCGTTCAGATCCTCGTCCGCCTCGATTCCTCCTCGCATCCCTCTCCACTCTTCCATTCCCGCCTACCCCTCATCCTTCTTCAGCCAGTGGAGGTTTCGCAGCGGCGGTCTGGAGATCGGTCAAGCTCCACCTGGAGAAACGGCTGGACGACAAGTTCTGAAGAGCCCTCGAGGGCGCTCCTGGGGCAGAGCGCTCGATACCAGCGAGGGGGGCCCCGCGCAGCATGCTCGGGGAAGACTCCTGAGGCCAGATCATCCACGGGGGTGCGCACGAGGATCGCGGCTTGCGCGTCGCGGCCTGGGCCGCAGAGGCGCCTTCCTCCAGAGCCAGCGGCGCGAGGGCGCGCGGATGAGCGTGTTGCGCGGGGGCGCGACGCGCAAAGTTTAGTGGGCTGCAGCCCAGACGCTGCAACACGGACCGCGGCAGCCAGCTTTGCGCCGCGCTGGTGCGGCGGCGACCTCAGCGCGGGCGTGCCAGGTGCAGCGCCTCATCTGCGCCAGCGGAGGGCCGCGATCGTTCAAGGTGGAGCGATCCACGCGGCGTCAGCCGGGGGAACGTAGGACTCGAGTGAGCCGGAACTCGGGTTAGCCGATTTCTCTTTTGACGAGCGCGTCTTGGATTTTGACGGTCTCGTTTTTTCGTGGGACGTCCGCAGCGGGAGCCCGCGGGGAGCCCGCGTCAAATTTCAGACTGGGTCTCGTCGTTTTTATGATGGCCCCCGTCAGGCCCACCCGAGTCCCCCGTACCCGAGTCTCACGTCCCACCGAGTCGGGAGCCAGCGCCCGCGACGCCGTGACGCGAAGCAGCCGCACGTGGGGCTCGCGGAGCGCTGCGAGTCGGGGGCCCCGCGGGTGGCCACAGGCCCTGCTCCTGGCCGGAGAAGCTCACCTCTGCGCCCTGTTTCTGCCGCAGCGCTCCTGCTGGCGGCCAGGCGGCTGCAGCTGAAAAGCCCCTGCCCTCGGAGAGAAGAGACGCCATAAGCATAATCAATGTTTGGCGCTCCGCGCGGATTTCTTGGATCCGCGCTGGGCCCCCCCTGCGGCGCCCCCCTGCGCCGCCCCTGGCGCGCTTCGCGCGCCAGGGAGGGGGAGGGGGGCCCAGCGCAGATCCAAGAAGTCCGAGAACGAGCACCACAAGTTTATGTTTATGCCGTTTTTTTCTGCTTCTATGCCCGGCGGTTGGCCCGAAGCCCCCCTCCGGCGGGCGAGCGCTCCCCCAGCAGGGCGACGACGCGGCCAGCAAGGAGCCCGTCTGGAGGATGCTGTGCCGCAATCGCTTCCTGTGGTGCATGTCGGTCGCCGCCCGCCCCTCGCCGCCCCCCGCGCCACGCTGAGGGGAGCACTTTGCAGTAGTTCCCACATCCTGAGTGCTCGCGTCGTAAGCAAGTCAGGGCGGGCGGTTGCTCGCGAGTTTCGGCCCCTGGGGGCCCGCGCCGGGCCCCAGGGCCGTCAAAAAACGACTCGGGACGAAAAGCTGGTCCTGGGGAAAGGGTCGGGACTTCCAGGGAGGCCGTCTTGAAAAATCAGGACGTCGCATGTTTGGGTTCTGGCCGTCTCTGCACCCCCCCGCGCAAGAGCCTCACACCTCACTCCCTTCTGTCCCCCTTCTCCTCTGTCCACACTCACCATCACCATGACCATCCTCATCAGCATCATCACCATCGTCATACTCCTGAGCACCCACCTCGGTGTTCCTCATCATCAGCAGCATCATCATCATCATCCTCATCATCAGGAGCATCATCATCGCCGTGACCATCGTCATCATTACCACACTTATGGCCATCGGTCATCATCCTCATCATCACCACCAGCAGCAGCAACATTATCACCATCACCATCACCAACACCGTGATCCTCAGCATCATCGTCATCATCAATATCATCATCATCATTATCATCAATATCATCATCATCATCATCATCATCATCATCATCATCATCATCATCATCATCATCATCATCATCATCATCGTCATCGTCATCGTCATCAGTATCATCATCAGCATCATCGTCATCATCATCAGTATCATCATCGTCATCGTCATCGTCATCATCGTCATCCCCATCATCATCAGCAGCAGCAGCAACATCATCACCATCATCATTATCATCAGCATCATCATGGTCACTATCATTACCATCAGCATCAGCAGCATCATCATCACACCATAACCATCATTCGAACCCATTCACACACTCATCATGATCATCGTCGGCATTGACATCATAACCATCATCCTCATCGTCATCAGCATCACCATCATCATCACCACCAGCATTCACCCACTCACATACTCGCACACTCCTCTTGATCAGCACTCGAGCGCATGCCTCGTCTGTGAGTGATTTGCGAGGAAGTCTCTGGCGGGAGCACCCTCCCTGTGGGGCCCGCACTTCACGACCGCAATTCGCGCGCGTCATCGGAATACCTAACCAGGCAGCACTTGAACATCCCAAGGGGGCAAATCGTGAGGATGTTTCAAGCGTCAACCCCCAACTCCCCATGGGGCCCGCACTTCATGTTGGCAAGCCGAGCGGGTCATCGGAATACTCTTGCCAGGCCTAGCCTTGAGCACCCCAAGGAGGCAAATCGAGAGGATTTCTCAACCGGCGGCCTAGTCTTTGAGTCAATTGAAAGGCAGTCTCAGGCGGGAGCCCCTTCCTTCTGGGGCCCTGACTTCATGTCGGTAATCCGAGAGGGCCGTCGGAATATCGCACCAGGCATAGTACTTGAGCGCCCCAAGGGGACAAATCGTAAGGATGTCTGAAGCGCCCCCCTTCCCCATGGGGCCCGCACTTCTTGCTGGCAACTCGAGCTGGCCATCGGAATATTTTACCAGGCGTCGCACTTGCGCACCCCAAGTAGGCAAATCGAGACGGTGTCTAAAGTCAAGCGGGGGCCTCGTCTGTGAGTGAAGTGAGGAAGTCTCAGCTGGGAGCCCCCCTCCCTATGGGGCCCGCGCTTCCTGTTGGCAATCAGGGCGGGCCATTGGAACGTTATACCAGGCATAGCGTTTGCGTAGGCACCCAGAGTGGGCAAGCCCTCCGGATCGCCCCTCCCTATGGGGTCCGCATTTCTTGTTGGCAACCCGAGCGGGCCATCGGAATACCCATCGGTCGTTGAAAGTATGTATTTTTGGATTCCCAGGTTCCAATCTATTTTCAGCGCCTTCCTACTTCAAGAGTCGAGTGGTTTTCCCTCTTCCCTCCTCTTCAGGAGGAGGGCGGAATCCCAATCAATTTCCAACGCCTTCCTACTTCATGTTTCTACCTACTTCTTCCGACCGATGGGTAGCTTACCAGGCGCAGCACGTGAGCACCCCAAGAAGGCAAATGGCGAGGACGTTTCAAGCGGGAGCCTCGCCCGTGTGTGAATAGCGAGGATGTCTCAAGCGGCCCCCCCTCCCCCCCCTCCCTATGGGGCCCGCACATCATGTTTGGCAGTCCGAGTGGGTCATCGGAATACTACCAGAGAGTATCGGAGAGCAGAACAGCGTGGCAGAGACAAGCAGTGGCCAGCAAGGAGCAGCAGAGCAGCAGAGAGCAGCCTAGGCAGCAGACACCAGCAGAGAACAACAGAGACCAGCAGGGACCACAGGAGACCAGCAGAGAGCAGCAGACACCAGCAGACACCAGCAGACAGCACCCGAGAGAAGCACAGCGCAGCAGAGTGCAGCAGAGGCCAGCAGATAGCAGCCGAGAGCAACCGAGAGCAGCACAGAGCAGCAGAGCAGCAGGCAGCAGCGGACATCAGCAATCAGAGCAGCAGAGACCAGCAGAGAGCAGCAGACAGAAGCAGACAGCAGCAGACGGCATCATAGAACATTAGAGACCAGCCGAGAACAGTAGAGAGCAGCAGAGCCGCAAAGAGCAGAACCTACCTGCAGTCACCAGCAGGGACTGGCAGAGACCGGCAGCGACCGGCAGAGAGCGGCTAAGGCCAGCAGAGACCAGCAGCGACCAGCAGAGACCAGCAGAGAGCTGCAGAGACCAGCAGAGATCTGCAGAGACCAGCAGAGAGCTGCAGATACCAGCGCAGACTAGCAGACACTAGTGGAGAGCGGCAGAGATCAGCAGAGGCCAGCAGAGATCAGCAGAGATCAGCAGACAGCAGAAGAGCGCAACAGAGAGCGGCAGAGATCAGCCGAGAGCAGCAGGGATCACAGGATATCAGCACAGACCAGCAGAGACCAGCATAGACCAGCTCAGAGCACCAGAGAACCGCAGAGAGCAGCAGATACCAGCGGAGAGCAGCAGACATACACACACAGCAACAGACAGCAGCAGACAGCATCAGAGAGCGGTAGAGCGCCCAAGAACCGCAGAGGAAAGCAGAGGGCAGCAACGAGCAGCTGAGACTGGCAGAGACCAGCTCAGAGCACCAGTCAGCCGCACAGAGCAGCAGAGCACAGTGGAGAGCAGCAGACGGAAGCAGGCAGCAGCAGAGTAGCAGGCAGAGAGCAGCAGACGGCAGTAGAGAGCAGCACTGAGTGGCGTGCAGCAGCAGCAGAGAGCAGCAGAGACTAGCAGAGAGCGGCAGACCGGCGAAGCACGAGAAGGAAGAGGAGGAGGAGGAGGAGGAGCAGGAGGAGGAGCAGGAGGAGAAGACATAGATCGAGGAGGACGAGGAGGAGTTGGAGACGTAGGAAGAGGAGGGCGAGGAGGAGGAGGAGGAGGAGGGGGAGCAGGCGCAACAGAGGGCGGGAGGAGGGTGCCCGCCAGTGCGAAGAAGAACGGGCGAGGGGCAAGGTGCACGGATTCTCATGTGGGGTGCCACCGTCGGAGCAATGTCCAATTCTCTCTACTGCTTTTCCAGCTCAAACAAGCATCTCACACGAATCGCACTGGCTTCCCCGAGCTGACGCGTGCATCAATCCCTCTGCCTTGTCGTCTCCTGAGGGCTCCTGCCCTTCCGCGCCGCCTTCCTGGGGCCAGTCCTGCCAGACCGACACCGCGCGCTCGCTCGCTCCCTCGCCCCTTGCCGCCGGCATCGGAGACAGCGGGGAGGGGGTAGGGATGGGCAGCGAAGGGGAGAAGGAGGAGGAGGAGGAGGAGGAGGAGGAGGAGGAGGAGGAGGAGGGGCAGGGCAGGCAGGAGAGGGAGGGTCAGAGGAGGGCGAGTTGAGACAGCGGCAGTTGGCCTTCGGAGGGGGTCTTCGTCTCCACGGCTGGACGCAGCTCGTAAAATTGGTGCGTCTGGACCCCGCGAGAGGGCCAGGGACCGATTTTGAGTTCCCGCTGTCTCAGATCACCCTGCTCCGGGACACGCGTGAACAGGAGAAGGAGGAGGGCGACAATGAGGAGGAGGAGGAGGAGGAGGAGGAGGAGGAGGAGGAGGAGGAGGAGGGTGAGGTGGAGAATGTGGAAGAGCAGCGGGGGTAGGGAGAGGAGGGAGGCAGGCAGGCAGGGATGGGGGGGAGGGAGGGAGGAAGGGACGGAGGGAGGGAGGGAAGGAGGGATGATGATGCTGATGATGATGATGATGATGATGATGATGATGATGATGATGATGATGACCCTGATGATGCTGATGATGATGATGCTAATGATGATGATGATGATGATGATGATGATGATGATGATGAAGATGAAGATGATGAAGATGATGAAGATGATGATGCTGCTGATGATGATGATGATTATGATGCTGATGCTGATGCTGACGTGAATGATGATGATGATGCTGATGATGATGATGAGGATGATGATGATGATGATGAGGATGATGATGATGATGATGACAATGATGCTGATGATGAGGATGATGATGATGATGATGATGATGAGGGATGAGGATGAGGATGATGAGGATGAGGATGATGATGACGAGAAGGAGGAGGAGGAAGAGGATGAGGATGAGGATGAGGATGAGGATGATGATGATGATGATGATGATGATGATGATGATGATGATCATGATCATGATCATGATCATGATCATGATGATGATGATGCTGATGCTGATGATGATGCTGATGATGATGATGATGATGATGATGATGATGATGATGATGATGACATGATGATCATGATGATCATGATGATCATGATCATGATCATGAGGAGGAGGGGAGGAGGAGGAGGAGGAGGAGGAAAGGAGGAGGAGGAGGAGGAGGAGAAGGAGCAGCAGGAGGGGAAGGGATGGGGGGCAGGAGCAGGAACAGAGTGCAGCAGGAGGACTGCAGACAGGATGGTGGAACGCAGACCACTTCTGGCTCGGGAGGGGCTCTGCTCATCGGGCCACTCCGCCGATCTGGGTCGGGGAGCCCCTTTGCGTGCCCGTGGGTTGGCCG